TATATATACACACACACACACACACACACACACACACACACACACACACACACATACATATTATATATATATGTAGTACCTTTGCCCTGATCTGGATAGCCCAAGCTAGACTGATCACATCAGATCTCAGAAGCCAAGCAAGGTCAGCCCCGGCTAGTATTTGGATGGGAGGCCTCCAAGGAAGTCCAGGGTTGCTATGCAGAGGCAGGCTGTAGCAAGTCACCTCCGAATGTCTCTTGCCTTGAAAATTCTACAGGTCACCATAAGCCAGCTGTGACTTGATGGCCAAAAACAACAACGTAGCAACTTTATTCGGGGGACGGGACACAAATAGCAGTTCCTCTAGCTAGGTTTTCCGGAGACATGAATAAAACCTGGACTGGAACTCCTCCAGATTCCAGTATCCCAGAACTCATACAAAACGTGAAATGAACTACTGAACATCACAGCCTGCATTCTGAACATCTTCCAAGGTCACTGTTTCCAAGCTGTATATGTAAGAACGTAAGAGAAGCCAATGTTGTATCAGGCCAATGGCCTATCCAGTCCAACATTCTGTGTCACACAGTGGCCAAAAATACCAGGTGCCATCAGGAGGTCCAGCAGCGGGGGCAGGACACTAGAAGCCCCTCCCATTGTTCCCCCCCCCAAGCACCAAGAATACAGAGCGTTCCTTTTCCCAGACTGAGAGTCCCTATCTATCCCTTGTGGCTAATAGCCACTGATGGACCTCTGCTCCGTATGTTTCTCCAATTCCCTCTTGAAGCTGTCCATGCTTGTAGCCACCACCACCTCCCGTGGCAGTGAATTCCATGTGTTAATTACTCTTTGGGTGAAGAAGGACTTCTTTTTATCCATTCTAACCCGACCGCTCAGCAATTTCATGGAGTGCCCACAATTTCTTGTCTTGTGAGAAAGGGAGAAACGTACTTCTTTCTCCACCTGCTCTATCCCATGCATAATCTTATAAACCCCGATCATGTCACCCCTCAGCCGTTGCTTCTTCAAGCTGAAGAGCCCCAAGTGCTTTAACCTTTCTTCATAGGGAAAGTGTCCCAACCCTTTTATCATTCTAGTTGCCCTTTTCTGCACTTTTTCCAGCGCTATAATAACACTGCTATAATAACTTCCAATGCTATAATAATAACTTCTACACACTGGAGTTGCAGAAGACGTCCCAGGAGGTCACCAGGCACTGCAGAAGTGCAAAGCTCTGTATGCAAAAACAGGCAATTTAAAAAAAAAACACTCCTCAACTTAGGAAGGTGGGTTCTGGCTGTTATCTTTCCACACCTGTTCCTGCTCTGCACATCCCTAGCTGCCCCCGGGAACCATTTGTCAGCCTTGGGGCTGTCCTAGGTCCTGGATCTAGCAACCCTGATTCCTGACCCTACAAACACCCTGTGTCCTTGGCGTCTCTGCCGGATAGGGGCTTGTTTCTGCATGAGCTTGACTCTACCCTACAGGCACCCGGCCCAGAGAGGTCATAAGCACAGTTAACGAGGAAGAAACCAGATCTCCTCTCGTGCACAGGAGTGGTGTGTTGCCTTGTGGATTGTTGCACCCTGTTAGGAAATCCTGGCGTGGCAAATGACAGTGTTTTGAGATGACAGGTGATAGCAATGCCACACAGTTCAGGATTTATGGGACTGATGCAGTTGTCATGTGAATCATGCAACCACTCTCATTTTTGCTAGCAGTCAAAAGGCTTGGGCACGCGGGGCCTCCAGATCTTCCCGATAAAAAGAAGTGCTCAAGTCCTCCATCCGCACTTACCTAAGTTCCCAAGTGCTCAGTTATCAGTGAGAAGGGTGGTTGCCGCAGGGCTCTTTTTGTAGCAGGAACTCCTTTGCATATTAGGCGACACACCCCTCATGTAGCCAATCCTCCAAGCGCTTACAGTAGCCCCTGTAAGAAGAGCTCTGTAAGCTCTTGGAGGATTGGCTGCATTAGGGGTGTGTCGCCTAATATGAAGAGAAGAAGAGATTGGATTTATACCCCGCCCTTCACTACCCAAAGGAGTCTCAGAGTGGCTTACAAACTCCTTTCCCTTTCCCTCCCCACCGCAGGCACCCTGTGAGGTAAAAGAAGAAGAAGAAGAGATTGGATTTATACCCCGCCCTTCACTACCCAAGGGAGTCTCAGAGTGGCTTACAAACTCCTTTCCCTTCCCCTCCCCACAACAGAAACCCTGTGAGGTAGGTGGGGCTGAGGGAGCTCTGACAGAAACTGCTCTTTTTCAAGGACAGCTCTTGTCAGAACTACGGCTTGCCCAAGGTCATCCAGCCAGATGCAAGTGGAGGAGTGGGGAATCAAGCCTGGTTCTCCCAGATTAGAGTCCGTGCACATAACCACTACACCAAACTGGCTCTCTCTATGCTCTTGCTGCAAAGGAGTTCCTGCTACAAAAAGAACCCTGGCTGGTGTTGTACCAGTATGCAGATGGCTCATTCACATATGGCTCATTGCCTCCATACCAATCAATCCAAGTTTATGGTTTATAACTATGGTGGTGTGGAAAGTACCATCAAGTCGTAGCTGACTTATGGTGACCCTTCATGGGGTTTTCAAGGCAAGAGACATTCAGAGGTGGTTTGCCATGGCCTGCCTTCACACAGCCACCCTGGGCTTCCTTGGTGGTCTCCCATCCAAGTGCTAACCAGGGTCGACCCTACTTACTTTCTGGGATCTGACAAGATGGGGCTAGCCTAGTCTGTTCAGGTCAGGGCTCAGAACGTTTTATGCGTATCTTGTAGCTTACTGTTTTTCATGAAATTTTCATTTCAAGTTATTAAGATGCTGAACTGCAGGCTGTGGAAGGTCGGTAGTTCAGCAGTTTGAGACCCGAGTGTGCCGCATGACGGAGTGAGCTCCCATCTCTAGTTCCAGCTCCTGCCAACCTAGCAGTTCGAAAGCAAGAAATTGCAAGTAGATAAATAGGTACCACTTTGGTGGGAAGGTAACAGCGTTCTGTGTGCCTCGGTATTTAGTCATGCCGGCCACATGACCACGGAAACGTCTTTAGACAGCGCTGGCTCTTCGGCTTTGAAACAGAGATGAGCACTGCAACCCTAGAGTCGGATTCGAGTGGCTTTTGAGCAAGGGAACCTTTACCTTTTACATGATACCAGCAAATACTGGAATAAAAATTCCATCCCTGGGCGTAAAAATGAGAACAACAAGAAATAGCTACCTGCTTGGTTTAGCCATTAGTCAAATTAAATTAATTTAAGCGCAAGGAACACCAATAATCTGGACAGATTTATGTGAAATTTTATATGCTGTGACAGCAGATGAGAAGGTGTTACAGGTGACATATATATTGTCAGATAGCAAGAATCAGATAACAAAATCAGAGGACTTAGTAAATAACCCTAACCTGAGTATAAATCTTGAGATACTTGTATAACAAGCAATATAATAAATTAGGTACAATATTTGCTGTTTGTCCCTGGTTACATACACAATTTCTTCAAATGGATTTTTCTGATGTCTACTGCCCCCAGTAGGAGATGATATTGGAAACATAGCCTTGGCAAAATTTACCTTCCTTGGAGGATAGTATGGACCAAAATGTAAAGGTGAAACCAGTGGTATTCTCGTACCAAGGTAATCATTTATAGTGAAGTTAGGATCCCTATGAAGTCCAGACTTCAAATGCTAGTTAAAGGGGCTATCAGTGGCCCAGTCTGCAGAGCTGTTCTTTAATATGAGAATCTATCATCTGTGTTCTTTGAAAAGCAATAAATCAAGATCTAAAATGCACAAATTTACACTAGTACTCTTACCAAAAGGGGACAATGTTTTAATATGAGCTACGCTCTTGCTGTTAATAGGAACGTTCACAGTTTGCCCAATGGAGGAAGAGTCTGTCCCCTAATCTTAACCACCCTCCTATAGCTCTCAGACAAAAGTATGAAAAATGAGAGAGTATTAATGTGTATGCTTAAATAAAATAAAGCTTGGGTATTTCATATTATGGCCTGCAGCCCTTCACCTACTAAACTTATTTCTACCTAAAGATGTCAGATTATATGTAGAAATTTTAGGTTTGAGATTACTTTGAGCTCTACTACCAGAAGTATCCACCACTCTCCAAGAATAGCTTGAGAATATGGTGGGTTACCTCTTACAGAGATGCTAATAGGTTCAGAGGGCCCATCTGATGCTGCGTGAAGTTTCCTGGACAACAATTGATCTCAGAGCAGGAGGAACACTTAATTTATTATTTCTTCTTATGTAT